TAAAAAATACAAGTAAAAAATATTAATCCCAAAGTTACTTCTAAGAAATTGGAATAACTAAAGACTTATACATATGTATTACTTCAAGGTGTAAACAAGCAACAAAAGTATGTTGAAAGAAATATGTCAAAATTAATAATAATTAATGGTGATTCACATAAGTTTCTCTCTCTCTCTCTCCCTCTCACACACACACACATATATGTGTGTGTGTGTGTGTGGAAAATACAATATACAAATCTATATATTTGTCTACAAGTGTGAATGACAAAAGTTAAATAGTTGAATGACAAAATGGAAAATCCCATGTTATATATATATATATATATATATATATATATATATGTGTGTGTGTGTGTGTGTGTGTGCATGTATATTATATACAAATTGTGAAAGAAAGAAAGAGACAAAAATAATGTGAGGTAGATTGGCTTGATGTGAAGTGATAGAACAGCAAAATTAAAAAAAACTAATAGCATATGAAAATTATAATTATAGATAAATCAACTAAACAAAGTGATTGATTTGATCATTCATTGTGAAATAGGAATATGAAAATAAGAATACGATCAACTGATAGAAGTGAACAAAATTAGTTCAGTAGTCATATATATGGATTTATAAAACAAGTATTTCTTAAAATAAAAGACAAAAATATATTAGATATAAAATAAACAAAAAGGATAAATGTTTTGTTAATATTGACTTTCACAATCCAGGCCATGCTGATAAACTATCTCATTGTTACTACACATGAAAACATAAGTGGACAAATGACAATATTTGATAGGAAATCTAACAAACGTCAAATAAATAGATGATTTCTTGTTTGAAAATTGATTTTGCATGATATATATATATAGAGAGAGAGAGAGAGAAAAAAAACAGTTTTGAACCAAGGTTTCATGGTCATAACACTATTATACTAACTATTCAGTCACATGCCCTTCTTGATAATATCAACCTGGGAGAGACGATCCTGGTATGTAGCACCATTGGAGAATGTCAGAAAACTATGTGTCAGGTTAACTCAGGCCTTGTGAGTGAAATTGGATGAAGAAAATTGTTTGGATGCCATTGAGCATTGTGTTAAGACAGTCAGCAATCATCATAACTGAGGGTTTACTGGATTTATTCAACTGCTGATCATACTAAATTTTTCTCTCTCTTGCAGAAACTCTAAGATCTGCTCAATATAAAAAAACCCAAAAAAAACAAAACATATTTTGACTCTTTGGTTGTTGATGAAACAAAAAATGGGACTGAGTAGGTGTCTACTAAGGAATTAGCTAGCACCCTAGCAATGCTTGTACTTGGAAATAAACAATCAGCCATTATAAATATATACATATATTTATGTGTGTGTATATTAATAAAAAATATAACTATAACAAGAGAAAAACCTTTTATGCTGATGCATTTTATTCTTTGAGTAACTTTATCAAGACAAATGCAGAAATTTTATTTAGAAACTAATATTTAGACATACAGAAAAATAAAACACTGTGAAAAAATAATGTGTTCAAATTTGAATTAGAGAACACTCAAAAATATTTGAAAATCACTCAACGTTAAGGTAAGGAAAACAATGGCGGAAGCTAAGTGTTGTAAATTTTTGCCATTTTCTTAAATGAAAGTGAATTAATGTTGTTGTCATTATTATTGATTGGTTGATTTTTTTTAAGCCATAAGTTAAACTTTTAATTTAAAATTTTTTTTACCATCATATCATACATATTGGCTTGAGAAAGAAGAATTTCTTTTCATCTAAGCAAGTTATTTTCTCTTTTGGTAATGGTAGTCTTTTCAAAATCAAAATTGTGGTTGAAATTATTTTTTATTTTATTACTTATATGTTAAGCCCAGTCAGTACTTAGATGGGTCACTACTTGAGAACACCAGGTACTGCATATGAAAACTGGGTACAAAATCAGTTAGGCATGTAACTCGAAACTTCATCCTCTGAAACCTTATTTGCAATAGGAAACATAGCAACAGCACCTAGTGTTTTTGAGAGCTGTGGCTCTATATTCCTCAGTGGAGTCTACAGTACTAAAGGAGGAAGAGGAATGACAAAAGTAAGCTTCTTTCTTGAACAAAGCATCAGTCAGTTGCTAAATACATCCACAATCCCAATATCTTGATGAAAGATCTTATTCATCTTTAGGTTATTTATTTTAATAACAAATGATTCAATAATTTGAAGCCTTTTTTTCTTGCATCTGTGTATGTGCACTGTGCATTTATATATAAAAATACAAAATATACTATCAGAAGATTTTAAAACTTTAAGAAAGCAATCTAAAAATTATCATGTTACTCATAAAATTTTGGAATTAAGTATTCATGAAATTACCCTCAATTTTCTCTAAACATGAACAAATCAAAATGTTTTAATATAGATTTACTTTTCATCCTTCACACACAGCAAATATATCAATAAGTATAGTGTCTTAGTGGTCTAAACAGTCACATATTTCCTAATGTTATTGGTATTTGTTTAGGTAAAAGTCAAAACTATTTTCATGTTTGGCTCAACCCACTTTAAAACCTGTCTCATATATGCATGTATATAAAGTTATGGATAGAACTCATAACAACGCACTGTGTGGTGAATTATGACTAACTACAACCTTGAAGGCAAACTGAGAATATGCTGTTTGCATCTTCTATATAATATTTACCTATATCCAAACTAAATAAATACTTAGCGATTCATATATAAATAACCAATATTTACCTATCCATAAACCAACTTAAAGATTCAAATATAATAATAAAAAATACTAAATTTAACATTAAATAGCCCAACAAGGGTTGACATTAAGCAACCCTTTTGAAAGCAACAAGAGTTCTTTTCTTAGTGCAGCACTGAGAATGTAACCTTTGTTTACAATAGAACATTAAACAATGCAACTATAAAGCTCTCATGATCTGATTGTATGATCCTACATTTGGAAGGTCACATATTAGCTATACTACCTATATTAAGCAATGTGTTCTGGACATTTGATAGACTTGATTTCAGGAATCTATAATATAATAATATGTATCTCCCCACAATTTTTAAATACTTCATATGCAGATTGACAAAAAGTTATAAACAAAATATCAAAACTTTGTAGAATATTTGCAAAGAAATAAAAAAAGAAAAACATTTTTAAAAACATGCCAAATAGACTTCATTCCTGCTTCACAAATATTCAACATCATCACTGCAACTGAGAGAATTTCCTTCATGACATGTATTTATTTATTTTTTAATTTAGTTTAGTTTTATACTGTTACCAGAATAGTTTTTTTTTCATTTTAAAGGGATGCTTTAAAATTATTGGCCCAATCCATAACCAAAAATAAGTATATTGATGTTTGGCTATTGAAATATTGATTTTGAAAATAGGGTTAGGCTTACTTGCAGCAGTAGTTCTGTTACTTTGAAACTACTGTTAGCATTATGGTACTTTTATTTTCTTTTTAGCTTATGTATATCAATGAATAAAATAAAATTTTCAAACTTAACATCCTGACTTGGAGTTTTGCAGAAAATGGTATCTGCTCATCAGGGTGTTTGATTTAATCCTCCTGACAAGTTGATATCATATCTGCAAAATTCCCATTTTGTAAAATAAGTTTGAATGTTTAATTTTATTTTTTTTATATTTCTTAATATTGAGCACTTTAATTACAAAGAGTCTTAAAAGAGCTATCCTCCACAAATACACTGGTGGAGTGTTTGTCAAATATACTGGTGGAGTTTTTTTTTTGTTATATGTGTTTGTGTGTGTGTGTGTGTGTCTACTGGCCTAAAGAGCATTCAAATATCACTGTTCAAAATATGTATATATGTGATAAATTTCAGTCGTGCTTAATGATGTCTTTTTTTAATAGTGAAGTTAATGTCACCTGGCCTTCAGACTGAAAGTTTTCTTAAAGAGAATCTGCTTTCCAACATTCTCACTCTTACAGATCAGTATTTTGACTTCAGAATCAAAGAAACCACTTAGAAAAATACACACACACACACACACACACACACACACACAGATATATATATGTGTGTGTGTGTGTACATATGTATAATATATATATATGTGTGTGTGTGTGTGAGTGTGTGTGTGTAGGTTTTACTTAATTTTTTTAGTAATTTTCTCATTTGCATAGAGACAATGGATGTGTGTATGTGTGTGTGTGTATATATATATATATATATATATATATATATACAAGAGAGAGAGAGAGCATAAATTTGTGTATCATGAATCTGAAATTTGAAAAGCTATGACATAATTGTATTTTGTATAATGGCATTGAATGTTAATGGTAGTTGAAAAACTAGAAAATATGCATGTATGGACATGCATTGATTATTTTGCATTAAAACAAAAGAAAATGCTGCCAAAAAATTTAACCTTTACTGTGGTCTTCAATAAAAACCTTGTGAACTACTGAAAATTCTGATTTTATATATATATATATATATATATATATATGATATGCATCCTGGCACTCACAGCCTGATGAATGAAAAGATGAAAGTATACTAACTAGCAAATTACTATAATTTTTCATAGGTCGATCTTAGATTTAAAGTCTTGAGCACTTTTCTTTCTTCAGTTTTTCATACATTTTACATTAATATGTAAACTTTTTTATACTATTAGGAAATATAAAAAATATTATTCATGTGCACATAGACTCAAACATACACAGGCACACACCTTGACTGATTTGTATGTCATTAATTTTTATACTTAGCCTAAACAGAAATTTTACTTAGCCTCTGCCTAATCCAGGAAACAAATTATAACCTGAAATAACAAAATGGTTTTATCATTCAAGATTGCCTGGACATCATCATTGTCCTCAAAGCCAAGAGAAATAGACAAAATGCTGTAATAAAGCAAATGTGATAGTTTTCAAAATATTTGTTGATACATAAATTCAATAATTTTCTTCCTCTTAAATTTCCCCAAACTCCTCTCTCTTTCCAAATTACTTACCTTTTGTGAGCTGTCTGGCACTACAACTGGAGACTTTCTAATTACAGCAGGATTCTTTGGTTCAACAACCAGATCATCCCTATACTGTGATGTTCTTCTTGACGTAGCCAGAGCAACTTTGTCTGACTCAGTCGCGCGAACCTTGTCAACTTCTGCCGGTCGTGCCCTCTCAGGCTCGGCCTGCCGTGGTTTATCTGGTTCAGCCGTCCTTGGAGGTGGAGTGGCATCTGTACATGAGGGTCCCAGGTAAGGAGGGCATTTCAAATGTCTCTGTTCGCGTTTATTTGCACGATTCAGTCGCCCCCTGTTTAGGGCATTTCTCCGATTGTTACATCGAACAAGGCAGATTAACATTGAAACAGTCACAACCACAGACACTGTAACAGCTACCGACACAATGACTATTAAGAGATAAAGGTGTATTTTTTTGTCAGATTCAGTTTGTACCTCATTCACCATCTCTGATGTCTTGTTGCTCACGGTTAGAGTCAAAAGTAAAGTAGTTGTTGCAGATAGAACTGGGCTACCACTGTCCTTGACAACAAACTGCAGGTCATACGTCCCTGCATCCTGGAGGGTGACCTCACGTGTGAAAGACAACAAACCAGAATAGTGGTTGATGGAGAATAACCGTTTTTTGTTGCCTTTCGTAATTTCAAATTTAAGAAAGGCATTCTCCCGACTATCTTTGTCGGCCGCCTTCAGAACTGTAATGTTGTTTTTAGAATTAGGGTAATAGACGACGTCCATCGAGTAAGGACTCACAGTCGGAAATGTGAAATAAGGTGCATTATCGTTTTTATCTCTAACCTCGACTACAACGTCCACCGTGTTATTTAGGGAAGGTATCCCATTGTCTTTAACAAAAACTTTGAATTTATAAATATCTTGAAATTCATGATCCAGAGACATGACCGTTGAGATTAATCCATTGTCTGAGATCTGGAAAGGGAGGAAGTGTTTGTTGTTGGTCAGCAGAGAGTAGGTCAGCTTACCCCCAAGTCCCAGGTCCGTGTCAGTGGCATTGATGTAGCCGACCGGTATTCTAGGATTTTCATTCTCATAAATGAAGAACTTTAATGTTTTCTTGGAGAACTGCGGCCGTACATCATTGACGTCCATCACTTGAATGGAGAATTTGCTCTCACTCCGTAAAGGCGGATAGCCTTTGTCCTGACAGCTGATCGTGATGTCATGGTGGTCTTTTTCTTCACGATCCAAGGGACTCTTAACAATGACCTGATACTTTTTTGTACCAAGGTTCTGAAGCTGGAATTTTTCATGGTGAAGTTTGCATGTTACCTCCCCGTTTTGTCCCACATCATAATCAGTGACTTTGACGTAGGCAATGAAGCTGCCGACAGCAATGTCTTCGGAAATTGCAACCGAATTCTCTGTTGATGTCGAGACAAAATTCATATCTATGCTCGGGGCGTGGTTTTGTTGGTTGATCACATTCACCTGAACTTTAGCAATAGAACTCAGGGGAGGGCTGCCCCCATCAGTGGCCTCAACATAGAGCTCATGAGTCAGCTCTTGCCCCAACAAGAACTTTTTACGAAGGAAAATCTCTCCAGTCACCTCATTCAGCTTAAAATGTGACTTGGCTACACTGGAAGTCTGGGAGCCAAAGTGGTACCGGATCCTGCCATTCTTGTCCGAATCGTAGTCCCTTGCCGACAAGATGACGACAGGTGACGTTTCACTCGGCTCGTTTATTATTGAAACATTATTTACTTTTTTGGAAAAAGCTGGGAAGTTGTCATTTACATCAGAGACAGCTATATGAACATCTAAAACACTTTGTTTTGGTGGTGAGCCACCATCTTTAGCAATTACCTGAACCAAGTAGGAGTCTTTCACTTCCCTGTCCAGGGTTTCTTCAAGATTAATGCCAAGTTTAGAAGTTCCATCTACGCTCTTTGAAACGGAAAGCGTGAACGGCTCATTTGTCTTCTTTTTGAGCTGATAGGTAATTTGAGAATTCTCGACTCCAACGTCGCGATCAATTGCATTGGGAATTATTTTCTTTGTACCTTTTCGGTCATTCTCCGAGAACTCAATATTGACACTCTTATCTGGAAATTCTGGTGGGTGGTCATTGTTGTCTTGCACAATAACCTTGATCTCCAAAATCTTGAGTGAGGTCGTTCCCTTCCGTACTGCAACGTCGAGCATTATAAAACATTCCTTGTTCCACTTGCACATCGACTCAGCATCCAGAGTCTGACCTGTATACAGCTTGCCCGTTCTCTCAGAAACACGGAACAACTGAGTGCTGCCAGCCTGTTCTGGCTGCAGTTGGGTGAACCTTATCCGGCTGCGGTCTTGGGGCAGGACACTTTCCATCAAGTGTGTATCAGCAGCAATGTCACCCACATAGGTACCTGGGCTCTTACCTTCTCGCACGTAGTAGGTGAGGTCTGCACACAGACACCTGTTCAGGACAGATAGTAGCACACACACAGGTACCAACATGTCCGCATTCAGGTCTGTTACTGTAAGCAATTGTACAATCCATCCAGACCCCAGATGATGGGTGAAATCACCGCTGCATCTGTAAATGGAGAAAAAATAAATTGAGAAATTTAAAAGAGAAAAATGGATTGTTTCCAATAAAATACAATTTTATCACAAATGTGTCTCAGGCAGTTGTTCTCAAACTCTTAACTAGATTTGGTTAAAATGTTTTTTTTTTTAAGTTAGATGAGGAAGCCATTCTAGATAAAACCCTAATTTTCCTGCCTGTAATTGAAACTTGACAAAAAAAATCCTAACCTTGTATAAAAGAGAATCTTTTTACTAATTATAAGAAGAAGGAATAAAGAAAATTATGATATAAAATTATTTGTGTACATTCAGATGTTCTTCACTCAAAACTGGGTCAAAGCACTCTAGAGGTTTTTCAACCATTTTTTTACATTATTATATGAAGTAACATGTAAAACAAATACTGAGATTGTCTGCACCTGGCCCCAGACTTGCATGATCAAATACAAAATTCTGGGTAATCAACTCCATAAATATATAAGTTTAGAGTAAATGGAAAAAAGTTTGAGAACTGCTAGTCTAAGTTGCTCTCACATCAATGGCATACACCAACATTTTTGCTTAAATTTGACCTTCTGGTAAATAGTCCAAAGGTTTTGACTCTGAAAAATTAACATATTATCTCCACTGTCTTCTTTTAAGTAATCTCTTGGTTGACAAAAGATAGTATCAAAAGTCAGTTCCATTCATGTGTACCATTGAACACCTCATGTTTGGACAGAATTTCTTCCAGAAATATTTATACTTGAGATTCATAAAATGATACCATCATCTATTTAAAAAACCAACTCCACTCATAATTATATTTACATATTCTGATTTAAATGATTGCTTCTCATACATCACATAACTAGTAATGGCGTTTTCATAAAATACCTGTTTTGTCATTATTTAGTGACTTTTATTGAAAAATAAATAAAATCTTGTATATTTAAACATTAAATGATAAATAATATACAGTTTATGCAATGAATTTAAGTCTTGTTATTTTCTATAAAATTTAGTGAAATATATTGAAAGTTTGTCCAAAATTTAATTGATATATTTTTTTATAAGTTGATGGAATGATTTTAAGATATCTTTTAAATATCTGTTGAGACACAGGAAATGATGAGTAACTTGATAGTTGAACAGCTTGATCAATCTGTTCTAATTCCCATAAGTTTTGGACAGCACTGTATACTTAAGTTATGATGGCGATGGTGGTCTAAAATTGGATATAAAGTGGTCTTATATTTTTTAACTATCATGTTACGTATCGCAAATTTTTTTTATTATCATTATTATTATTATTTTGGTAAATATTGTGCTTCAACTGATGTATGATAAGAATATCATGAACAGAGCATATGAGTAAAAGGAAAAATTTCAATAAAATCCCCAACTAGGCTTGCCAATTTGTAGGAGTATTCCAACTTGTACATGACCACTGAAGCATTGCCTTTGTCAGCTAGAGCTATCATGTCTAAGTATGGGACCTACTTGATGTTAATGGCGAAGTTGAGACCCTTGTTTAGCACTGATTCTTCAGAGGGATTCAACTGCCACTTGCTGACATTGACATCTGGTCTTAGCAAACTATGGTGGGCTTTTGTTGCTGTTCCAACTCTGTTCTGTCATCTGTGCTAGTTTCTGTATTTGGCAAGCCATGACTCTTTGAACTTCTTCATTGTGTGACTTATCTATATCTTGTTGGATTCTGTATTTGTCTGATTCAAGTATTATTTTGCTAAGCAATGTCCTGGTCTGAATTTTCATGTTTCAGCTGATGTTTCTTCTAGTAGTTGTGGATTGTGGAGAACTTTTTTTTTTATGTTGGTGATGATATTACATTTCTTACAGAACAGCATATTTGGTCACAATTTTTCCTTCTTTCAACAATTTCATAGCTTTGACTTTTGAATTAAATTTGGCTGATATTTTTTTTTTACAGTGTGGTTAATCCTGTACAAAGCCAGATGTGGGTACACTAACAGTATAGGGTTACAGAATAAGAAGCATATGGATAGGCGGGGATAAAAAGATTAACCTTTGATTTGGACATGTTAAAATTATAGTGATTGCGGAATCATTTTCTTGGGAGTTGATTCCACTATTTGTTACATATTTTCATTAAAGTATTATGAAGTTTTATTAACTGACAATAAATTGTCAAAATTCTCTTCTTTTTTTTTTTTTAATCATTTCAAGTTGATAATGGCACTAAGTATATAAGGGGTTAATGGTAGTGGAAGAAAATGAAAAGACTTTAGTGCAGAGAACAGATTCAGGTAGATTAAGTATGGCAATTGATGTTTAAATTTTTGAAGACTGTAAGTGGCAGGGAAGCATGAAACCAGAAGAGAGTTCCAGAGATTAGAAGTGTGAGAAAAGAAACTATTAGAATAGAACTTATAGTTACATCTACCTATTTCAACAGTAAAACAATGAGACCTAGTAGCCAACCTAGTAGTAGACTAAAATTCACTTGGTTAAAGTACCAATGAGGAGAGCTCATTAGAACAAAAGTCATGAGAATATTTATAGAAAAGACACAGGAAAGCCAAATGTGAAAGCAACTGAGATGCAAGGTCAGGAGTGATAACTTTAAAGACCCTTCTTTAGATTTTGTTGAGCATCTCAAGATATATAACTGGAGCACCAGACCAGATATGGCAGCAATATTCAATGTTTGAAAAAATGGTAGATTTATAAATGTGCAAGATGGATTCTGGCAAGAAAAATTGTCTGGCACAACACAGTGAACCAATATTTTTAGCAGCAGACCTAGCCTATAATTGTTCCACTTCATGCCAGTAGAAAACATGAGACCAAGAAGACACAATGAGTTGCTCTCCTGGAAGTTAGCCTCAGATATGCTGATAAAGGGCAGAAATAGTGCTCTATGATGATTTGGAGGCATTCAAATTTACCAGTTATTTCTTGTCTCATTTAACTGAGTGAAGGTCATTTTTGAGAGTAGCTGCCACTTTTACTTTGTCGGGCTTAACAGACTTACTATTAACAGTGTCATCAGTTGTGTCATCAGCATAAATACATAGTTGGGAACTGATAACATCTGGAGGGTCATTGATGAAGATGAGAAAAAATGCAGATTTAAGGATAGAACCCTGGAGGAGCCCTGCATTAATGTGAAATGATCTAGAAGCATGGTTATTCAAGACAACCTTTATTAGCTGATATGTACAGAAAGATTGGATTAAGTCAAATGTCTGACCAGATACAATAGCCCATGAGCTTGAGAAGACCAGAATGTTAAACCCTGTTAAATGCCTTTGAGATGTCTGAAGCTACATCCAGACCCACCAGTTCTTATCTGAAGACTGATGGAGAAATTCAGTGATAGCAGTTAACACATAGTTCAGAACAAATAATAGCTCTATACACATAATATAATTCTTGCATTAGTTCTGAGATAGTGGCAATCTCTTCATTATTCTCATGGTATTTCAATGCCAGCAATACATTTATATTTTATATAAAACAATTCTATTCTGTTATTAATGTTTGTCTTGATTGCTGTATTTGTTTAATAATTTTACCTGTCATATATATAATCATTTGAGAAGAAACTTTTGATGGAACTTGTTTAATAGATTCTACCTTTTATATGTGTAATCATTAGATAAATGAAAGTTTTAATGAATTTGTCTAATAAATTCCTATCTGTTATATATATATATATATGTGTGTGTGTGTATGTGTTAGAGAGAATTAAAATTTTGATGCATTTATTTAAAAAATCTGACCAGTTAAATATATATAAACATTAGAGAGAGTGAAAGTCCTGATGGATTTGTTTAATAAATCTTACCTGTTAAATATATAATTATTAGAGTGAATAATTGTTTTGAAGGATTTGTTAAATAATTTCTACCTGTTATATATGTAATCATTTGAGGAAATGAAAGGTTGTACTTAGTCTCAATCTATAATACTGTAATATCAAGTAGTTTGTGGAGTTTTATGTGATTAAATGCAATCTATAGGCTTATAAACACAGTATATATATATATATATATATATAAAATATTAGAATAAATTATGCTTGGTGCAGCTAGATACTTCAACTTTGCATACAAGAAGTGGGAAATATTTTTTAGACAATTTTCAGGGAAAAAGTCAGGTGTTATATACTACAAAAATATATTGATATCTGATAATTTGGCAATAGAACCAGAGATTTAGTATTTTTTTTTATTTCTTTGCAATCTGATTGGCGAAAACTTCAAAGTCCTTGCTCTAAATAACCAGCTGATTTGAATTGTAGTAAGCTACACATTCCTGATTAAATCAATCATGGGAGTAACTGATGAGAGAGAAGTCTATCCCTCATGTCTCAAAATATTTCTTGCCTTTTTATGATTGGCATAAGGAAATGAAATACAGGCCAACCAACTGGTCAAGCCAGTCAACCTAGCACAGTTCAATAAAAAATGAGTGCATGAACAGCAAGACTGATTGACTGGCTGTTTGGTTGGCTTGCATCTGATGAAGAGGCTTCAAGTGGAGTCTTATTGTGAACAAGGAAAGAGGAGTGAAGTGGTAGCTGAACTTCCTGCAGCTAGTTCTTGTCATTGTAGGCTCAATTTCCATTCACATGCATGACAATCAGGCATCTGTTATAATTACACAGGATTGAGATTCTTGGGAAGAACATGATGGGTCGGTATGTGTATTTGGTTTTAATGGTGGTTGAGAAGAAGGTTGGGAAATTAAAGAAGTTGAATGTAAAGAGTGATGGTGGGGAGGAATGTGAGAGGAGAATGGTGCCAAAATGGGCAAAAAAGAAGATAAAAAAAAGTGAAAGATTGAAGATACTAAGAGAGGTAAATACTGAGGTAAAAGGACATTGAAATGAAAGAGGTATATGGAGAGATAGGAAGTGGAGAAAATAAATAATAAAAAAAATTGTAGATACATTGAAA